TCTGTAATAGAGATTCTTGTAATGGCATTTATTTACATTGCCATTCTTACTCCAGCAGGGACCTATATCAACACTGCAGTAAGTATATAGTTTTTATCTCATAATCATAATCATCTCACACGTGGTAACAAGACACATCTAACCATTGCACATATTATGATATTAATGAAGTAATTCATTATTAATGGGGTTTGACTCTTGATCACCTTCTTAAAAGTCAAATCTGTTGTTTGCTTTAGACACCTTGTCATAAAAAAACACTAAGGACCAATGAAATTTAATCTCACCATCTTCGTTCTCAATACAATTTCGCCAGATATTTCAGCGTCACAGCTATATCAAGATAGATGAGTTATGGCCATAACTCAGCCATTTGCATTTAAAATGGAATGAAAGCTAGTAATTGGAAAGAGGTCAACGTGTTGGATCTATAACTTTGAGTGAGTGAGTTAAAGTTAAAGTTATGGCATATGTTATTTCAGCCATATTGTGCTTTAAGATAGTTATAAATTCATGATCATTGCGCAAATTTTTAAAACCTGTCGACGAAGGACAGTAAAACCAACTAGTATATCACAGTAATAAGAAATAAAAGTAGCGTATATCTCTATAATAATAGGATTTCAAATCAGGACAATACAATATAAAATAAGGCTGAGGATCGCCAACAATTGAAGGTACATCACCACTCTATAGCTTTGACTTTTAGTTGATTTTGCGAGTTTCCATTCTAAATGACTCAGCATAACCGTGTCTCTGCCTTTATCTAACACAACCGCGTGTATGCTGCTATATGTATAATTGATAGTGACGCTCAGTACATATGCAGCGTTTTAGTGGAATTGTAAACTTATATCTTGACTTAACCATGGCAAAGTTGTTTACCTGGCAGCACGGTCAAATACATCTCTAACATAAAACGTCTGTCTAAGAAAGCAGAGAGTAAGTGAGCCGAATAAGACAACAAGCAAAGATTCCCTCGCTATTAAATTCAGTTTGAGCATATACACGCCCTCTCTACCTTACATCACGACTTAACAAAACGAAGTCTCTTATTTCCGTGCTGTGTGTCCTGTCCATCGCCTTCTGTGATTCTAAGAACTCCTTTCCACTCAATATGATACAAAACCACTAGGAAACGTTCCCCAGCCACCCAGTTCAGTTTACACAAGTTCGTATCCACTCCATAACAGAAGACTCTTCGTATTTTCCCATACACCTGGTCATTCTGAACAGAATGTCAAACACTCAACAGTTATATCCATCTTCAAAGTATATGTCACATCTAATTCATTTTCATTCACGAGATGGATGGATTGGAAGGTGAGTGGAAAATCATCACTTTCGATGGAGTGAATTAAGCAACTCTTGGTAGTTGATGTTCTGTTGGATGTTTCAGATGAAACTATTACGTTTTATTAGATGGAGCCATTCATCTGCGGACTGATGTCGTACTGCTTTATTAATCAATTGTGAGATGATTATTAATAAAATGATCACATAACTGAACAATAGATACTATTCAGAATTAGAATTGTAATTGCAACGTAGATATAAAGTAATGATGATGAATAATGCACTATGTCAACGTCCATATATTCCCGACGTGAAAGGAGTAATCCCTTTCTAAGTCCATGCATATATCTTTCAGTCAAAAGGTACGGAAGACGCTCTTTATCAGACTGGAATAAACTGGAGTGATGGCAGGACCTCCAGAGCTGTAAGTAACTGTTTTACTTTCAAGTATACTCACAGGCCAAAAGGATTGCTAATCTTGTCAATCAGTCTTTGGATTTGAAACAGATATTACGTATGTTAATATTGTTGAAGAAACGCCATTAAGGAGTTGTTTAAATTGCATGAAACTTGCTAGAAGCATGGTACATGTTCACTTTAAAGAGGATTGAAAACCAGACACGTATCAGTTCCACTCAATATTGTCTCAGAAACTGCAAAAGTCAGAAAAACACACTCGTTCACGATTGATGAACGTTCTGGAAGTTCGACGTGTGGAGCGGTGGTTAATGTGCCAGATGGAGAGCTATAGGTATGTTTTCTGTTGGTATCTCGCAGTGGGACGTTGCTTTTGATTTAACGTCCATAAAATTACGATTGGTATATGTGGCGATTTTCCAGTAAGACTTGTTTTAGTAACTGTCAAGTTACAGACCATACTGGCCGCCTACCAGTAACGACACCATGTCATAACCTAGGATTCGAACGACGCCCCTCTGACACAAGTTCCAGCCAGCAACCCTAACGACACCATGTCATAACCTAGGATTCGAACGACGCCCCTCTGACACAGGTTCCAGCCAGCAACCCTAACGACACCATGTCATAACCTAGGATTCGAACGACGCCCCTCTGACACAAGTTCCAGCCAGCAACCCTAACGACACCATGTCATAAACGATAGATTCGAACGACGCCCCTCTGACACAGGTTCCAGCCAGCAACCCTTACATACCTATCTGAGACATAACTTGATGCGACTACCGCATCCGTGCCCGAGGGACAATTCTAACACCAGAACATCGACGTTGACGTCTCCAGTGGAAGAGACAAAAACATTTGCATTGAGGAGAATGTGATTTAAGAAGACCTTTTTCTGGACCGACGAGTCCCGCTTTCTTCGTCACCGATTCGACAGCATATCACGTTTCTCCAGGCACACGGGTGAACGTATCAGGGCAAGTGTCCTGTAGAGGGACATTTTGGAAGGTGGGATCGTTGTGATCTGGAGTGTGAACATCTGCAGCTTGGACTTCAATGACTGTGTTGGAGGGGAACTTGAATGCTGTGAGGTAACGAGACGGAACTCAGCAAGTGGCACTTCACCGTTTTTGTAACACCATTAAGTGACGTTTCTACAAGATAACACGAGGCCACACCTTGTTCGGGTGTAAGCATTATTTTAGTCAGAATGATCTTAGTGTGTTACCCTGGTCCCCTGATTTTGTTCCCATTAAACACGTGTGGCATGAAACGGGGCGACGTTTTCTTCATCCGAATCGTCCAACACTACAGGCACTCCACCAAATCTTTCCTCGCACATGGAATGGTCTTCGATGACCTTATTGAGGCCGATTTACCAGGTTTGCATCAATGCACAAGGTGGGCACACTTGCTGCTGACCGCGTGAACTTGCTTATGAATCTCCTCTTGCGTTGTGGCCCATTTGCATAGGCCAAGTACGCTGTTCGTATGGACTGTCACCATACATCGACTCATCCGTCTTTCAGTGGAATAGCATTTCATTCGTGGCAATAAACATTTTAACACTGATTCTCTTGTGCTGTGTTTGCTTGTGTGTTACAATAACCTTTGCCTATTAGTATACATATGCCATATGGTATTTGGCAGAACCATACGAACTATAAGATGTCTATGCCGGATGATATTCAATATTTCCAGGACGTTTTACAATAACAAGTCAACCTGTTCAACGTCCAGAACCAAGATAGAGCTCCATATTATTTCTCGGAGCAGCATATGCTTGTAGTAAGACCTACATAAATTGCTCTGCCCTTGTTTGAGTGTCATGATATCGTGGCAGTAAGATGAGCTTCTTGTGGCATCTATCACTGGTCAAGATTAGACTCTTCATATTAATTGACTATTCATATTAACTATCCATATTAACTGACTATTCATATTAACTGACTATTCATATTAATTGACTATTCATATTAATTGACTATGCATATAAGTTTTCCCAAAATCATGTGGATGGGGATGGTCCGAATCTGTGGGAGTTTGCCCATAACATCAGTCACTGTCACAATCTGGTCCAGACCTGACACATAACTGGCCAGTCATAGATCTGCAGTGTTACTGAATGTGCTTCTCAACAACACAGGATATAACTGTTATACTAGCTGATCATAGGATATAACTGTTATACTAGCTGATCATAGGATATAACTGTTATACTAGCTGATCATAGGATATAGCTGTTATACTAGCTGATCATAGGATGTAACTGTTATACTAGCTGATCATAGGATATAACTGTTATACTGGCTGACCATACACGGCAACGTTTATAAGTTTAAATGGGTAAGATGGAAATTAACATGTATATCTGTGTAAAAATAAATATACAAACATGATTATGATATGTTTATGATTAATATACATGGTTATTTTGGGTTATAATCATAGCTGTTGCACTACTTCTGTTATGTGTTTATCTGATCAGTGTTCATTAATAATAGTACATGGTAATGTATAGATATAAACATTTATAGATATATAACATTCTATGCATTTATATGCATGAATTCAGTACCAGACGTTCCTGTTTTGTGTCTCCACGTCCGATGTGGGAATCACAGCTCTTGGATTCCTTACCATCAGCAAGGGAACCGCACTTACGGTAAGCCCAAAAGTCCTCAGAAAAACTGTGGTACCTCCCAGGCAAAGTATTGTCCTGTTACAATACACTATCTCTCTGCTGCTTTCTACAGGTGTGTGTTTCAACTACAATACGCAGGTCAGTAACAAATGGACTTGGGCCAGACAAACAGTGGTATATACCATGAGATATTTCCAGCGCTGTCGAGGAATTCCTGACCACCAGCAATTGCTGTTTGGGTTTGAAATGGATATCGGTTGTTTACAGTATGTTGCGATATGATCAGACAATGATTGACATTATGAAAATACGACACATGACATGTATAATGCATTCCGGAGAGTTTGGGTAGTCTAGTGGTTAGGTCGTTCGCACGTTACACCGAAAACCAGGGTTCGATTCCCCACATGGGTACAAAGTGTGAAGCCCATATTTTGTGTCCCCCCGCCGAGGAATATTGCTAAAAGTGGCGTGAAACCAAACTCACTTACTCAGTCACTCATAATACATTCCGTCGCCGTTTATGTTATTTGTTGCGGACCTCGCGACACCTGCCATCATATCAAACGACATTGTGAATGAGATCAACGTAGTTATGGTAGGATGACGAAAGTAGACAGTCATCTGTACCTAGCATGACACCACTGAGGAAAAGTTATCTTTTGTTTTACAATGTGTATGTTTTACCATGTATGCTAAAATAAATCTATCATGCCACTGTTCATTTCTTTTTCCAGATGGTAGGGACTATCGTGTCCTATGTCATTGTCATCCTGCAGTTTCCCACAAGCTCTGACTCCATACAGGTCCGACCCAATGCAACATTATATCCATAGTTAGAAACGTCATTGGACTGTGAGACAACAGAGCGTTAGTGGACTATGCTTTTCGGGTCGTTCATTTTGTGATGATTGTCAAGATCTCAAAGAGAGGTTATACTTGGGTTGTCATGTGAAGCTACACCTCTCTAGACAGCAGATACATCCCTATATGATAGGTATATATGTGCCAGATTGATGAAAGTTATCTTTGCCTCTTGGTTCCTGGAAATAATATTACCATTTAGAATTATGTTGTGATGTATTCCGTTGTATGTTCAGTATCTGTTGGTTATGTCACTTTTGTTACAGCATGGTTGTATGCATGACGTTTGTGACCAAAAAACATTGATGGGCAATATAAAACGATGGTTTTGATCGTGCAATTGAGCTGTTGCGATGACAAAACTAGCAATTTTCATTTATGTTTAATAGCTAAATATATATAGGGTGAGCCCCAACACCAACACTAAGTGTGACGATCTTTATAGCATGGGAAATCGACTTTCTTGCAAGTTGGATTACTGTTGCTGAGAGGTTACTTATACCATCCTTGTCTTTATTGCTACGATCACTGCTCTTGTTATACATTACCTTTGACGTTGTTCCTTCACACTAGTTCCTGCTGCCAAAGTGATACCTGTATTGATTTGTGAATTTTCGTAGTTACAGAATACAGTTGTTATTTACAGCACATTTCTCTGTTGGTTTTTCACCTAGTTGATGTATGGGCTGATTCGCGGTTAACATTTTACCTACAACTTGGAAATCGATGTATACAAATATGGCATTCGCCTTCTATGAGACTGATCTGTATGCGACATAGGGCGCCAAGGTTCATATCAAGACTTGACAGGTACGTTCATGCAGACTGTTATACAGATACATAAAACTTATAAAAAATAAAGAGGTGCTTATATGAGATGGTATAAGGTAATATTACATGTAATTATAATTGGAACATGTCATTCAACTGAATACTGATCTGTCCTGATCTTTGGCTGCAAGATGCAAGACATATTGTTGGCTGCGAATAATGGCCTGTCTTTGGCTGGACCATTATTTTCTGGAAATATGTTTCACCTTCAAGTCCAAAATTCAATTTTTCCTTCTACTAAAACATGTGGTAGCTTTTCTACTGGTTTCAAAGCAATATATATTTTTTCTAGATATTTAGCAAACTTGTATTAGAGCGAAAGGGTAGATGGGTTTCGGCGCCCTAACACCTTTAAATCTGTCATAGGTGAGTCAGCGTCACATTACTGGTGTGATCCATTCACTTCAGATCGATGCTCATGCTGTTGATCATTCGATTGTCTGATCCAGACTCGATTATTTACAGACCTCCACCATATTGCTAGAATACTGTAAAACTAAACTCACTCACTCAATCACACTACTTCTGGGACAAAATGAGTTCTTGCACGGACCCATGACCATGGTGTTTCGCTACAGCAGCAGCTGTGAATCCATAACTGTTCCTCCCATCTTTATCTACAACATTGTTCGAGAGGACATACTTCACAATCTCCAGATGTCCTCCAGTACATGCATAAAGGAGGATATTGTTCCCAACGCAGTCATGTAGTTTCAGATCACCACCCCATTCAACAAGCAAATCAAACACGAGCTTGTGTCCTTGCTGTGCTGCCCACATGACTGGCGTCCTCAAGAACTTGTCAATGGAGTTGATGTTGACTTGGGTCTGTGACAGGATATATTTCACTATATCCACATTTCCTCCGTTACATGCCGAGTGAAGGATGTTATTATTGAAAGCATCTTTTAAAGACAGATCAACTCCCTGGTTAACAAGTAACATGAACGCATCACCTCTTCCATATGATGCTGCCAGCATCACTGGGGTCCTCTGGTACTCTCCTCTGCTGTTGATGCTGGCCTTGTGTTCCGAGATAATGTACTTCATGATCTTCGCATCTCCCCCAACACTGGCATAGTGAAGGATGTTATTACCGCCACCATCTAATATTGATAGGTCAGCTCCTTTACCAACAAACAAGTCAAACATTTCACCGTTTGCTTCCTGTGCTGCGCACATCGTAGCAGTCTTCCCGTTCTGTCCCTGATGGTTTATGTCATCATCGTCATCAGACAAGATGTGCTTAAAAGCAGTTAGATCACTCTCGGCATCGTGGACATTGGGTAAACCTTGGTCCTTGACTGGGGAAGGTACCTGTGACTCTGTGGACAGAATGTACATTTTATAGCAAATTTACATTGAATAAGCCGTGCCCGTAGAATCAGTAGTATGTTGCCTTTAACCATGACATTGGTACAGTTTCACATATACTCAAACGTTGATTTCTCGAAGATAGTTTTGGGATTGGGAGTTTTAGTAGACTCTGGGGTATTGTGTTGACCGTGAGCAGCATTATGGTTACATCGTCACATCATTCTTCTCTTGCTTACCATTTGCGTAATTTGACTTTTGATTCCATTCATTGTGCACATTCCACGACCTGTTGAAAACTACTGATATAACCTCCATTGAAGTGTAAACCGGCATTGCGTTACTCCTCACTTTGGCAGAAAAAACGATATATACAGTACACCAAAGGACAGCGTTCAACGTGGGGTACTGCTCTGCTGCGTCAGGCACAAATTACTTCCGTTTTTAGCCATAATTTGTGAATGTGGGATGCAACCCACTGGGCAGCGCACCATTGTCCTTTTCGTGAACACCTGGTGTCATCACAGAATTTCAATGATCCATTCCATAATTTGTTCAGCCAATGCTCCCTTTACACCAAACGGCATTTCTTTCTGAGGATAATTAAGACTTTTTTGTCTATGTCTCTCCCTCCCTCCCTCTCTCCCTCCTCTCCCTCCCTCTCTCTCTCTTCCTCCCTCTCTCTCTCCTCTCTCTCTCTCCTCCTCTTCTCTCTCTCTCTCCTCTCTCTCTCTCTCTCTCCTCCTCTCTCTCTCTCTCTCTCTCTCCTCTCTCCCTCTTCTTCTCCCTCTCCCTCCCTCTCTCTCTCTTTATATATATATATATATATATATATGTCTCAACTGTATCTGCAACACCAATGTTAACATATGGTGTATTTCTTCTCTCGTTTCACGTGCTACAAACACACACACACACACACACACACACACACGCTTACACACACACACACACACACACACACACACACACACGCTTACAGGCGCTTACACACACACACACACGCTTACACACACATAACTATTTACTATATATTAATTCCTTATATTATATTAATGTCATGCAAAGCAGCATGTTGTGCCAGGGGGAATATACTCTCGAGATGCTGCACTGATCATTACATACAGGAAAACAACAGATGATGGTCCATGTTTGTGGAATGGTCTCATGACAGAAAACAAGGCCGAGTAGATAAAACGTTCGCTCATGGCTCCCTCCCAAGAGAAGCCAACTTTTTGTGTCGTCCGCCATGGTATAGTTGGATTTGCAACAAATGTAAGATTATATATGGGACACAACTGACGCTTACTCACCCATGATAACAGAGCACTGTGACTGGGTCCTCTGCCAGGGTACAGCTGGGTTGACTAACATGGAGACCAAATATTACATATCTTGGTGTCTGTGCATGCTGAACTGGGTGCAGTTAGAACACATTCATTGTCCTTGGACAATACTAAACACTTTTTGATAGCGCCAGTGCATTCACAAGTTTTATGTACGGAAAAGGTCTCATACATTATTTATACCCATTGTGTTGTTCCCTTCAACACCTTACTCCTCTCACACATGTATCGATTGTTTACAAGCCTCTTTTATATAGCAATACTCCTGTGGCGTTAGGCAACACATAAACAGTGACTATTTTATGCGAGAGTGAGTTTAGTTTTATGCCGGTTTTTTTTCAATATTCCAGCAATACGTCTGGGACACCAGAAATGAGCTTCATATATTGTACCCATGTTGGGAATCGAATACGGGTCTTCGGAGTGACGAGCGAACGCTGTAACTTCTAGGCTAATATGTGTGAAGCCCATTTCTGGTGTCCCCCGCCGTGACATTGCGGGAATATTGCTAAAAGTAGCGTAAAACCATACTCACTCATTCTTTGTGACTGCAGCGTTAAGGTGTTATGTTCTGCTGGCTGCCAAGTGATTCTGGCCTTAGAGGCAACTGTTACACCGATGCCTCCACAAAAGTTGTTCTAAACAAGTCCACTTGAAGCCCAAACTTTCATTGGTACATAAACTCCATACTCAAACCATTGATTGGAAGTCACACTTATTCTGCGTTTGCTTGACATGATGACGTCCTGTTGCATCGGTCCTTCATGGGACAGTTATTATACACATTCATTGTTTTCATTAAAAGGTGGTGATGCACCTGGCATTCCCTACAATGGTCAAATAACGACCAAGCACATTTTGATCAAATGTGTTGATTTTGGTCCTATTATAAATCGTTTTCATGGCATTGGACATACCTTATCTAAACCTTTCAGAACGGATTCTAACTCCCTGAATTTAGTATATTTGGAAGGAATTATGCCTTATGGTAAAACACATTTTTTTTATCTCAGCAGCCAGTTTTCACTCACGGATGTGATATTTTAATGAAATTTTAGAGAGCATATTTGGTGCCCTTGATTGAGCGTCATGGTGTCCCAGCAGTACATTTGATACCCTTGGTGGCGCGTCATGGTATCCCAGCAGTATATTTGATACCCTTGGTTGTGCGTCATGGTATCCCAGCTGTATATTTGATACCCTTGAATGAGCGTCATGGTATCCCAGCAGTATATTTGATACCCTTGATTGAGCGTCATGGTATCCCAGCAGTATATTTGATACCCTTGATTGAGCGTCATGGTGTCTCAGCAGTATATTTGATACCCTTGATTGAGCGTCATGGTGTCCCAGGAGTAAGGGTAGTATATCCTGATATCTGAGCAAAAGCGTCGGAAGCTTGAGAAGCAGAAGCGACAAACTGGACTCACTGTCCACAAGCAGATGCATGCTGCCCAGAGAAACCAAGTGAATGAGCTTATTCACCAGGCTAAGTCCAGCCATTACAATGCTGCTTTGGAAAACGCAGGGTGTCAGAAAGAGATATTTCACATTTCCAATCAACTTCTCTTCAAGCAAAAGACAAGATTTCTTCTCTGCCAAGCACTAAGTCACTGGATACAATAGTGAATCAATTCTCAGATTTCTTCACTGAGATGATTAGGACGTATTGTTCATGTCTGCTGAACATTGATGCAAGCAGCAGGAACTTTACATCAACAGAAGTGCTATTCAATGGTACTTCATACCTCACATGCTTTTGCCCCACATCAGTAGAAGAAGTCAAACAACTGATAATGAAGAGTCCTTCCAAATCATGTGCTCTCGATCCAATGTCAACTCACATTCTCAAGGAATGCCAAGAATCTGTGATTCCGATTCTCACTCATGTCATAAATCAATCTTTTGATGAGTGTTTTGTACCACCATTGTTAAAAGAAGCACTTTTTACTCCTTTGCTAAGAAATCTCAGCTCGACCCTGAAGTGATGAAGAACTATCGGCCAGTGTCGAACTTGCCCTTCATTTCAAAACTAATCGAGCGATGTGTGGCGAAGAGACTTCACGATCACATGACCCTCAACAGATGTCATGAGGTGATGCAGTCAGCCTATAAACGAGGCCATAGCACCGAGACTGCATTGGTCCGGGTTCAAATTGACATTCTACAATCAGTAGAGAATGATGGAGCTGCCATTCTTGTGTTATTAGATCTTTCCTCCGCTTTTGATACCATAGACCACAGAGTGCTTCTTCATACACTGGAAAAAGAGACTTGGTATCACTGACAAGGCTATATCTTGGATTGAGTCCTATATCTCTGGACGGCACCAATCCGTTCACATTGAACGCACAAGATCAAAGAAAGAAGAACTGCTCTTTGGAGTTCCACAGGGTTCAGTCCTTGGTCCGATCCTGTTCACAATGTACACTTCACCTCTTGGGGATGTCATACGAGAATATAATCTGCAATTCCATCTGTATGCAGATGACACCCAATTGTACATATCTTTTAGACCACAAAGTAAACCATCCGTTGAATTCTCCTTTGCTGTGACATCTCAGTGTGTTTCTGATATCCTTGAATGGATCATTTCTAGTCACTAACACATGAAGCCCTGGGACAGTTGTCATACTTTTCGGCTTAGTCTGTGAAAGGGGACACACTTGTGACAATAGAGAAAATCTGTTCAGACTAAAAATGACTAATGACTAATAACTAATGCCATTGTGGACTGTCAGTCTGTCTGTTGGGAAGCCTGTGGACTGCTAGTTCTGCTTGTGTTGCTTTGGACTGCTAGTTCTGCTTGTGTTGCTTTAGTGCAATTACTGTTTTGCAAAACCAAAAAAACATGACCGTTTTTAATCAGTCTAAACATAATTAAACCCGTCCCCATGCCAGTGTGGACCGTCAGTTTGTCTGTAGGAAAGCCTGTGGACTGTTAGTTCTGCTTTTGTTGCTTTGATGCAATTTCTGTTTTGCAAAACCCCCAAAAGTGACTTTTTGTTCAGTCATTAGATCTCGACTTGACATACAACAACCTGTGAAAGTTTAGTGTCAAGTCTTTCACATCTCATGTTTACAAAGTTGTTGGGATCACAGGTGATGTTGATATTAATTAGATAATGGTACTTTAGATAGATGTATTGTAAATGGGGCTTTTTTAGGGTTGCTGTTAGATCTGGTAATACCATCAGCACAGTTACCTTGAATGAGTGAGTGAGTTAAGTTTTACGCCACACTCAGCAATATTCCAGCTATATGGCGGCGGTCTATAAATTATCGAGTCTGGACCAGGCAATCCAGTGATCAACAGCATGAACATCGATCTGCGCAATTGGGAACCGATGACATGTGTCAACCACGTCAGCGAGCCTTATCCCGTTTGTCGCCTCTTACGACAAGCATGGGTTACTGAAGATCAATATTCTAACCCGGACCCTCACAGATCAGTTGAAAATACTTGTGGTTACATTCACCGTAAGTCATCATATATATTTAGTTGCATTTTTACAGTAGCGCATACTCATTACAATTCATAATGACAAAAAAACTAAATGTCAACTTGACCCGTACTTATAAAACATGTCGATATTTGAATTTATGGAAGCTGCATATCTAGTTAATCTGTAATAGTCAGTTAGCTCCCTTCGGATTTCTTTGAACTCTGGTACTTTCTTTTGTGATCTTCTGGTAAATATATAATGTGATGTTATTAATGTGATGATGTTAAGTGGGTTATTATTTCTTTCGGCATAGCCAAGGAAAACAATTTCTTTTCATATATCTATATTTATCTGAGGTTCTTATAGCAGGCAATTTTTTAAATCAAGCCAAACGGAGTGTAGATTCCATTTCTGTAGAACAATAGCTGCATAAATCGCTTTCAACATATCCCATTTTATGAAGGCGAAAATGTGTGTGCAAAATCTGAACCATTGAAACTTGGTAAAATCTGTGCATTAAAACACTAATGAATTACACTGATGCTTTTGTATCAATGTTTTGTAGAAATATTGTAAACTTTTCTGAGCTTTCAATAAATGAGCAATATGAAATGGTAGTAAAGGATATGCAATCAGTTTTGTTCATTTTTACCATATCCTGTTTCCTACAATATTGTTTAATAGATTGTATGATGCCTAAACAATCAAAGTAGTTTATGACAATGGAGTTTAGATTACAAAAGTCTCTATAGGAGTAAAATTGTCGTTTGTCTCTAAGTTTTATTCTTCAATAATCCAAGACAAACGAATCCTACTTTGCCAGCCAAGACCGGTAGAGTTATCTCCCTTTGACCATAACTCAAACAAGGAAGACGTTTCTTCAAACTCATTGGAAATGGAAGTGTCGTAAAATCCCTTGGCTTTTTCGCCTACACAGTAGGCGGATCTGTCGATCTCTTTGAGCTTGTAAACAATTCTCGATGTAAGTATCGATGCCGAAACTGAGTGGTGGGTTTCGTGATGTTGGTAAATAACCACGGGGCCGTATAAATGCCAAACGGCAGGACCCTCCATTGGTAGTGGTTTACAGAGCTGGTATCTGCGCCGAGGGGTAGTTTCGCCGAACTGGATCGCTCGTCGGCAGTGGAGATCGTCAGTTAAATAGATTGTAGCCCGAGCTGAGTGTAGATACGACGAAGGAGTCCCAGTCGTGCGAACGTCTCTGACACTCACTGCTTCTCGGATCCAGGTCCACGAGCTGAGTCCGGGTTCTGCGCACCTGAGATGGGTCGGACTCCACCCTGTGTAACACAGTGGGACACTACAACTGGAATAGAAGAGTCCACAAGAAGCTGAAACAACATGACCGTCAACACTTTTTACCCCTGAATAACACCTTTTATGCGAACTTTATATCAGAGGGGTCCGGGCCAAAGCGATGTAGAAATATCTGAACGAATGGGAGAATGACCTCGCACGAGAAAACAACAGAAGAGGGGATGGGGGCAATACGTTACGTTTTTACTGATGCTCTAAATCTACATTTAACGCCGAAAAGTACGTCACAGAGAATCTACCGAGAAGTCGGGATGGTGGGGGTAGACTAGTGGTTAAGGCGTTCGCTCGTCACGTCGAAAACCCGGGTTCGATTTCCCACATGGGCACAATGTGTGAAGCTCATTTCTGGTGTCACCCGCCGTGATGCTGCTGGATTATTGCTAAAAGAGGCGTAAAACTAAACCTCACTCACTCACTCACTACCGAGAACTCATCGGAGAGCACTAGGTAATTTTAGCTGCGGCACTGCCCCTCTACGTATTGAAACTGATCGTTAAACCAACACACCAGAAGAAGAGAGAAAGTGCACGTGGTTTACCTGTAACGATTGTGTTGAGGACGCGTATCATGTTGTACTGCATTGTCTATTATATCCCGATTATCACTTAGCCTTAATTTATCAACGTAAGTCAGGGATTAACAATTTGGATATTTTAAGTGACGTTGAGAAAGCGTGTTTTATTATGGTATGCCAGGACGTTGTTTATTTTGCTGCCAAAACGTGCAAACTTGTTTTACAGAGGAGAGGTTTGCTGTATGACAACTAATATGTCAGTATTCATCTTATTTGTGTTGTGTATTTTATTTATTTGATTGTATGTACAATTTCATGTAATTTATTACTTATAGTCTCTCATAACCCATGTAATCACGTTTTATATATACACGATTTTACCCTTTTGGACCATATGTATTTTATGTATAAATTGAGGTGAGACTTTAATAAATTGTCTGTCTGTCCGTCCGTCTCTCTGTCTGTCTGTCTGCTCAATTGGACAAGTATAAGATCGACTGTGCTTGAGCAGAGAATTAATATGGATGTAGAAATGGCCCTGTCGCCTTAACTATTAGCAGCTGAAATGGCTAATGTGAAGTGACGGAATGAACGGACCAGTACAGTTAGGGCATCATTTTATATGTTTCACGTAGCCACCAAATTCTGAATATGGGTCAGTCGGGGAACAAAATGAATAAAGACAAAATTATCTAAATAATGTTCTTGATTCTCGTTTATTGTAATTCTTATTACAATTTCTCGCGATCTTTGGACGGCAGAGGCAGATTAATAGATAAACATTTTATATGACGAGGCGGTACGTTTTAGGTTCGAGTCGGCGGTGTTGGAATGAAAAAATAAGAAGGGTCGGTCGTGCGATGAGAAAAATGCACTTTCAGTGCTTTCTGTGCTTGTAGAGAGGTGTATAAAGGACAGGGTTTCTTTTCGCACTGTTATGGAGTCCCAACTGTTGGGCAGAGGGACATAAGAATACATTATTTCACTGAATTGATGTATGTCTCCTTACATGCATTACCGACGAGTGTACGGGATTGTATGAACTTATATTATCACATAGCAGACTGAGTCTCGGGAGTAGCAATCAGCGAACATGACTACTCCAGATACGTGGGACATACTGCACTTCCCATATGTGACAGTAACCTAGAGGTTAAATCATTCGCCTTGGTACAATTTTCCAAACGGGGTCAATTTGTGAAGTGTTCACTTCGGTGACTTGGTTGATTTGGTTGATAGGACGTCATCCTTTCCCACGTTGATTGAATCTGATATATGTGAATCACAGACCGTGATGTACAGGGAGTCTACAGCTAGAATACTGCTACCTTAAATGCCCAATTTAAACCCTCTCCGGTCAGCCCTTTAATTCACCCAAGGGCTTGAAGTTCCAAGTTTACAATAGAAATGAAAGTGAGACAGGGGGTTGAAGTATCGTAAAATTATAGTCCTACTGTGGGGGTACGTAAGTCCCAAAACATTTAAAGAACATTTAAATATACCACTATCTTCTATGGTAGAATTTGTGTTGTTTTAATTCATGGTTAGATTGTCTAAATTGCTAACAGCTGAAGGGATTGTGTAAATCCAGCTGGGTTCCATGCAGGAAGCAAATGTACTGTAAGTCCCCATGGTCCCTAGTATGGTGATCTACCTTCAACGGTTGGCAACCTGTAGCCTGTTTTTTATTGTATAGTCTTCTGTAGCTAACAGTTTTAGATTTACATACCAGTTTTAAATTCATAACTGTGATATTCTAGTTGTTTTTACTTCGTTGACAGACTTTTTATAATGTGTATGCATTTCTGGTAATGATCATGGAATCGCATTCACAACGCTTTTGTGTAGTGGGCGAGTGAGTGAGTTTATACCGCTTTTAGCAATATTCCAGCAATATCGCGGCGGCGCAGACCAGAAATGGGCTTCACACATAGTACCCATGTGGGGAATCGAACCCGGGTCTTCGGCGGGACGAGCGAACGCTTCAACTAATAGGTTATCCCACCGCCCCTCTTTTGTGGAAATTAGACGAGTACAACAGGTAGGTCATTTTTGAACACTTATTTCCAGTGATCTAATAATATACACACACTGTTGTGTGGCCCATTGATGTATCGAATTTACATATCTGGACGTGAACATGACCGCCTCCGTGGTGTAGTGGCTAGAGCGTCCGCCCGGAGAGCGGAAAGTCGCGGGTTCGATCCCCGGCCGGCATGGTATCTCAGTGAGCTAGTCTGGGCTAGTACAAGCAGCCACACATACACACGTATGCACGTCGTCATGTGAGCGAAATATTCTTAAGTGCGACGTTAAACCCCATTTCATCTCACCTCTATGTGGACATTTGTATGCTTTCTTTATCCATCAATGGTTGGTTCTGTTGCCCTTCATCTTCACCATCACGCCGAAGACCCGGGTTCGATTCCTCACATGGGCACAATGTGTTAAGCCCATTTCTGGTGTCCCCAGCCGTGATATTGCTGGAATATTGCTAAAAGCGGCGTAAAACTAAACTCAGTCAGTCAGTCATCTTCACCAGAACAGTGTTTGACTGTAGGATTAACGACGAGTCCCCCTTTATAACAAATCTGTTTTGTCGGAAAATCTTGACTAGTTATTATCTTAAATTTTATATTTAATATTTATAATCTTCATGCATCATGTTCAGAAACGAAACACCATCAGCACTTCATACCTTATATTTGGGATTACACTTTCTCAGTAAAATACAGATTCTGGTACGTTTGTTAGATTGAGTCCCATCCGGGATTTGAACCCATACTCTCAGCGATCTATCCGTGGTGTCTGAGTGGGTGAGATCGACGAACTTGTGTGCAATATTTATTATTATCATATACCTATGAATAATATGGACCATTTGCACATGCAATACTGGCTGTCGGCATATGTCCTTATTGATCACCCGGGCCGAAAATGCATATCAGCCATATCAGTCCAAGGACCGAAATTCTATATCAGCCGTATTGCCCGGCTAATAAACTGGTACGAAATGGATGCACGCAAACGCTAGAAAACTTCAATAGACAGAGCCTAGTTTATTTTAGAGTTACGTCCCTTGCGTCGTCTCCTCGACTTGCTGTCCATCAAGAAGTAGTGGAAAAGTGGGTTTTATTCTTCTTACCGTTTTTTGACTGCTTCAGTATTTACAGATGTGGTATATGATGATAAGGTTATGGTATGATAGTTTCCCTTTCGCCATTCATATATGCTCTCGACTACCATATCAGCCACCAGGGGCTCCTGCCCTCAGGCTGGTATGGTAGTCTCGGGCTGATGTGACTGGCGAAAGGAAAACTGTCTTCAACCCATACCCTTGCATGTTCATAAGAAAACTCAGGTCGGCTCGCCTTTCTTTATCTATGTGTATTAAAACAATGATTCCAAAACAAATTACTCAGATCAACATCAGAATTATAATTCCAAGTCTAATTCCAAGTGTTCTGTGGGTTTTGTTTTTTTTCAAAACCAATTACACAAATAGTTGTTGATCGTAGTAATCCTAATACCATTTTAACGTAGGGAATCAAACCCGGATCTTCGGCGTGACGAGTAAAACCTGTAACCACTCGGCTACCTCATAACCCCTCGCCTTTAGGATTCTTTTCTTTGGTATGACCTTTCCACATTCATCCTAGAGGGTCATAGCGTGTCAATGCAAGTCTGAAACAAACGTATGTCAATCCTGAATTGCCATTCTGACGTTAAATAAAAATTATATTTTCAAGTCAAAACATTGATTACATAACAGTCTCGTTTCCTGCTGACTGGTTTCCGTCCTATTGCGCAACTTAGTACAATGACCAGTCCCGAATTTTGAGACCAATTCATTCAACTGGATATATATACTCATGCCAATAATGGTTGTCACCCCCCCTCCCCCCCCCCCTCTCGAATTAAAAAATTGAAGGGGGTGACAACCATTATTGGCATGAGTATACATATTAATCAGTATTATTTGGTACATCTAAGCACTTGTATAATGCAACAATACGCCCCTTCTAATCCTTGCCAACACGTCGTGCAGCGTGCTCTGTCGCACATCGTGCTCTGACAAACGGAAATCTGGAAATCGTGGAAATCTCAAAACGAGGTTGGGTCGCTAGAAAAGTTTGACGGTCTGGTACGGACTTGATATTATATCAATCACATTGTACGTTACAAATATACACTGAATACACACAAAAAAAACACATAACAGGGGTAAACAGTGTGCCAGATGAATTGTGATGTCCGTGACGTCTTAGTTAAGGTCATGCTGCCTAAACCTCGCCATAAAATATAGAAATACGATTTTATTTAAGTTTAAATTAACATTCGTTTGTAAATACAAGGAATTGGAATTGAGTGTTACCATAGTTGTTTGTAGTGTCTCTTTTCACTTTCACACGAGAAAATTCGGATCGGCTGAAAAGTAGGTCATTGTCTAAATTGGTTAATGAGACTCATGTTTCGGTTTGCTATCTCAAATTTCCCCAAATGAATGAAACGGATGCCATGATGATATAAAAGAAAGCTCTCATCCTTGCATGCGCAGACAAAGTTTAAGCATTCTTTATCTATACCGGTTGCCGAACAGTTATCGCCATATTTTAGCAGTATTTACAAAATTACTCACCAGTGAAGGTCCGGGTTAGAATATAGATCTTCAGTAACCCGTGCCTGTCGTAAGAGGCGACTAACGGGATCGGGTGGTCAGGCTCGCTGACTCGGTTGACACTTGTCATTGGTTCCCAATTGCACAGATCGATGCTCATGCTGTTGATCACTTGATTGTCTGGTCCAGACTCGATTATTTACAGACCGCCGCCATATAGCTGGAATATTGCTGAGTGCTAAAACACTAAAACCCACTCACTCACTGATGGTGCTGAGTATCATCTAGTCCAGACTCGATTATTTACAGACCGCCGCCATATAGCTGGAATATTACGGAGTGCTAAAACACTAAAACTCACTCACTCACTCACTCAAAATTACTCCGTCGTTCGTAAAATTAGTGAAACAGAATTAATTATTATACTTAATTAGCTATTCACCGATATGACCAGCCGGTTACAGCCCGGGAAAGCCACATTTAAGAAAAACAGAGTTGAAAATAGTGTGGCTTAACCAGCAATGGACATGGTTGAGTGATCGTGTGGATGTGGCTCTCCCGGCAATGTGCTATTAGCTAATCCATGTTACCGTAAATAATATGAAACATTCAGTATGTAAAATCTAGAAATCCAGTTGAATTTTTCGTAGAGAAAGGTCCAGATCACGCAAACCAGCTGCCTCACGTGGGTATACTCAAACCCCTTTTACGAATTATTCATGATTATACAACCAATTATTTCATTGAAGCATTTTAACTTGTGGGAGGGTTAATTCAAAGTGTTAACCTTTTCTAATAACTGTTTGAGCTACGGTTGCCTCAGTCATTATGTTTACATTCATGCTAAAAACTCAACAACGAAAAATAAATAGATAAAAACGAATTTAGAAGAATGACCATTTATTGCACAAATATACTTATACACAGCCACATACATTTACATAGCTGTTTTTAAGCAAAATTCTTGCCCAAACCTCTCTGCTGATACGATATACCAATCATACAGCCAGTACAGCTATTAAAAATTACACACTTTGCTTTCATTTTCGAAAAGACAACATAAAAATTGAAAGTATTTTGATTTGTGATTTTGTCGATGTTGTTTTAGCTTAATTTCTACCACCAACAATTGCCGTCAAAGGAAACCGCAAGACGCCATAGACATCAGGAGAAGCCAACCAGCAATCAGTCCTGACCAGGGGTGAGTTGAGTTTTACGCCGCCTTCCAGCTATATGGCGGCGGTCTGTAAATAATAGAGTCTGGACGAGGAAATCCTGTGATCAACTGCATGAGCATCGATCTGCGCAACTGGGAACCCATGACATGTGTCAACCAAGCCAGCAAGCCTGACCACCCGATCCCGTTAGTCGCCTCTTACGACAAGCATGGGTTACTGAAGGTTCATTCTAACCCGGACCTTCACGGGGAGACAAGCATGGGTTACTGAAGGTTCATTCTAACCCGGATCTTCACGGGGAGACAAGCATGGGTTACTGAAGGTTCATTCTAACCCGGACATCCATGGGTAGACAAGCATGGGTTACTGAAGGTTCATTCTAACCCGGACCTTCACGGGGAGACAAGCATGGGTTACTGAAGGTTCATTCTAACCCGGACCTTCACGGGGAGACAAGCATGGGTTACTGAAGGTTCATTCTAACCCGGACCTTCACGGGGAGACAAGCATGGGTTACTGAAGGTTCATTCTAACCCGGACCTTCACGGGGAGACAAGCATGGGTTACTGAAGGTTCATTCTAACCCGGACCTTCACGGGGAGACAAGCATGGGTTACTGAAGGTTCATTATAACCCAGACCTTCACGGGGAGACAAGCATGGGTTACTGAAGGTTCATTATAACCCAGACCTTCACGGGGAGACAAGCATGGGTTACTGAAGGTTCATTCTAACCCGGACCTTCACGGGTAGACAAGCATGAGTTACTGAAGGCTCATTATAACCCGGACCTTCACGGGTAGACAAGCATGAGTTACTGAAGGCTCATTATAACCCAGACCTTCACGGGGAGACAAACATGGGTTACTGAAGGTTCATTATAACCCAGACCTTCACGGGGAGACAAGCATGGGTTACTGAAGGTTCATTATAACCCAGACCTTCACGGGGAGACAAGCATGGGTTACTGAAGGTTCATTCTAACCCGGACCTTGACGGGCCGTGAACAGGGAACATATCTACCTAGCACTTGGGACTTATTTTAATTTAATCATCACTGCTGGAATCATTGTCCTTGTACTTGTCACTTGTCTTCCATTTGTTTTCTTTTGCCTCGTTTAATGCCACTATTGTTACCTCATCAACCATGCCTGGATTAACAACCCCTGGCTTCCACGTGTCCATCTACCCATTTAATGCCAATCAACTACTGGTTTCCCTTGTTATCTCATAACTGTAGTTTTCACATGTACATATATAGCGATCTGTTTCCTAATTCTTTCATTCACATGGTGAAGGAGCAAGCATACACTCCGAAACGTCGTGTACATCACAATAAAGAAGTTGACATCCATAAAGTTCTTGCCTTTAATTTCGGTTTAATATCATGTTCAATATACATTCCGTTGTTATGACACACAGAGAGAGGATGACTTAGTCTGGCCGGCGTTGCTTGCTTTATGTATAGAGATCCGTGGGAAACAAACACCTAGTCTGTAGGGCATGCGAACGTATCAACACAGTACATTTGACCCCCGAGTTAACAAAGTCAAACCGTCTGCTAGCCGATAAAAGACCATTTCGTTTTTGTTGCACATTTAGCCACCATCACGCATTGATTAAAACTTTCTTTTGTTAAGTTATGAATGCTTAATAACAGATTCCGTACGGTGTGGTAAGATTTGAGAGCTTGTTGAATGCTGTATAGTGTGACCCACCTTCTCCTCAATGACAGTGACACACTGTACCAATATCGATGAAAACTAACAAACGGTAGCCTTCGCTCCTTTCTCGTGTGTCATTCGTATACTGAATATTTAAGTTCACGTCCCAGATCAATAGTGAGTTCAAGCGCAACAGACTAGGGAACCGTCACACATATCTGTATAGTGCATAACGTGAAAGGTGTTCACTCAGGACGACGGCTGAAAACCCACTGGGGCAGGTGTGTTCCACACTTAACACAGTTCCAAGCGGTTTCATAATTCCGTCAAGGTAAGATTTGTCTTTATATGTCCATAAGCGTTAACAGAATGTAATACTCATTTTATAAGTAAATCTAAAAATTGGATGAACATTTGAAATAATTCTTTGTTATGTCTCGTTAACGTTTGTTTATGTCCACGAGGAATTTGAAAGCGTCGCTTGAATTCGTAAATACGTTGTTATTTTATAAACCGAATCTAATTGATTAAGTTGTCTAAATCCTCGTCTTAAGACTAATATGTGTTGGTGACTACCATTTTTTTTACGCAAGCCCCGAAACATTAAAAATAAATTTAAACTTAATTTATTTTTTAAACGTAGTAATTTGGGGGAATTTAAGTTATGAATAAATTCGACTACAATCGCCAGAGGCTACAGGGATGATACATCCAGCTGGGTCTGTGCAGGAAGCAAAAGTACTGTAAGTCCCCATGGTCCTAAGTGTGGCGATCTATCTTCAGTTGCTGTAATCTCCAGCCCTTTTCTATATTGTGTTGTCTATAACAGAGGTATAATAGTTCCATGCCAGCTGTAATTCTCTATCTGTGTTCTCTATCTAGTCATACTGTCCTTTGTCGACAGATTTTATAATATAACTTATCTATTGTCAAGAAATGAATTGTTTTAATCACAACATGGCTGTAATATTGACGGTGCGACGATAATTTTAACTCACTCAATCACTGTCAAGCCAAGTCAAGTTTATTTCTGAAGAGGCCTCAGGCCCATATCGCTATTACATACATGATAAGCCAAAACAACAGCCAGACATCAGGGCTGGTAACTTCAAAATATTACCAGCCCAAAATGGATTTAACCAGACCTGACAATCAAAAGAAAATAATTCTATTTTTAGTTAGAATGAATAATGAACCTGAGACATGCATTTACCGTATTACCGGTTTATTGACAACAGTCATGTTCAGAGAAATCCCACTCCGAGTTGTAGTCAGCGTCGAGTGAGTGAGTGAGTGAGTTTAGTTTTACGCCGCACTCAGCAATATTCCAGCTGTATGGCGGCGGTCTCTAAATAATCGAATCTGGACCAGACAATCCAGTGATCAACATCATGAGCATCGTTCTTCGCACTTGGGACACGATGACATGTGTCAACCATGTCAGCGAGGTTGACCACCCGATCCCGATAGTCGCCTCTTACGACAAGGGTTTCTGAAGATAAATTCTAACCAGAATCTTCACGGGTATAGTCACAGTCGCAGGAATGGAACATGTTATCTTTCTTTTTAACCAGACCATCGGGCTGGCTTGCTGAAAATTTAGACCGCCGTCCGTCCGTCCGTCCGTCCGTCCGTCTGAAATCTAGCCCGTCAGAAATCTAGGGCTTAGTATCTCCTACGTAGGACTTAGCATCTCCTAAGTGGGTATCTCCTACGTAGGGCTTAGTATCTCCTACGTAGGACTTAGCATCTCCTACGTAGGACTTAGCATCTCCTACGTAGGACTTAGCATCTTAAGTCCTACGTAGGAGATACTATCACTGAGGAGATACCCACTTAGGAGATACTAAGTCCTACGTAGGAGATACAAAGTCCTAGATTTCTCTCTCTCTCTCTCTCTCTCTCTCTATCTCTCTCTCTCTCTCTGTCTTTGAATAGATGTATGTATGACAGATTAAACATAACCATACCCAAACATCCATAACTGCCGTTCGAACAGGGTCCACGTCACCCTAACGTAATACACACATAGTATCACCATAGTGATAGATAGTATGTCCTACGTAGGAGATAGTTTCTCCTACGTAGGACATATTAAGTCCTACGTATGAGATATTAAGTACTACGTGGGAGATATTAAGTCCTACGTAGGAGTACTAAGTTCTACGTAGGAGATATTAAGTACTACGTAGGAGATAGTAAGACCCAAAAAAAATTCACCGTGGCCCTACTACGCTTTCGTAGTTTACACATTAACCGATGTGTTGTAAAACAAATTTATATAGTTGAAATGATTAGTGTCAAGAGTTCAAGAAATTATAACTTTACTACTTTTTTATTCACCTCGCAGAGAAATATCATGCCGCATATACTGCTGTGCACCCTGGTCTCCTTCCTCCTCACAACACAGAGAGCTTCTGGACAGGAAGTTGACACCACGCATGGCAAAGTTGTTGGTCTGAGCACTTCCGTCCTTGGCAAGACCATCAACATGTATTATGGTATTCCTTATGCAAAACCACCCGTAGGTGACCGCAGGTTCAAGTACCCGCAGTCATTGGACCCCTGGAGACCGGAAGTCAAGGATGCACGTACAATGAAACCGTCTTGCCATCAACCAGTAGAAACTGCAGAAGGAATGCCATGGAGATCAATTCCTCTCAACTTCAGTGAGGACTGCCTCTACATCAATGTATGGACACCAGCCAATGCCACAGCAAGTACGAACCTCACAACCATGGTATGGATCTATGGCGGATCATTTCAGACCGGATCCATCAACATACCTTTGTATAATGGACAGTACCTTGCTGCTGAGAAAAACGTCATCGTAATGTCCATGAACTATCGTGTAGGAGCTCATGGATTTATATTTCTTGGACCTGATACGTTTCCTGGCAACCAAGGTCTTATGGACCAGGCTCTTGCCCTGCAGTGGATTCACAACAATGTTGAAAGATTCGGTGGAGATGCAAGCATGATCACCTTGTTTGGAGAAAGTGCAGGTGCAGCCTCGGTTGGTCTTCACGTGTTATCCCCAATCTCACGTGACCGCTTCACGCGTGCCATTCTTCAAAGCGCGGTCCCAAATGCAGTGTGGGCATCCATCGAACCTTCGCAGGCTATCAACAGCACTAGAAGACTCGCAGAGCTGTCGAACTGTAATGCCAAATCTGATGCTGACATTTTCCAGTGTATCCAAGATCTACCACCAGAAACGATAGTAGAAAAGCAGGCCCTCGTTCCAATTGATGGTTCCGCACAATTTAGTCCAGTCGTGGATGGTTATTTCTTACCCGATTCTCCAGCATCCCTCATTGAAAAAGGGCAAACAAAGCAAGCGGAAATCCTTCTGGGGGTGAACAAAAATGAAGGCACCACATTCCTCGTGGAGCTTTTGCCAGCAATATTTTCTCCATTTACGGATCAGCTTAATGTCAACAGAACACAGTTCCTGGAGACTGTAAGAACCGTTACTACTGGACAGTCCTCTGCCATTGTCAGAGCTGTTATAGCTCAGTATGCTGATATCTACGTCCCTTCTCTACACCCAAACTTCGTGGACACTGCTGACGACGTCTTTGGAGACGGGTACTTTAAGTGTCCAGCTACCAAACTAGCTGCTTCACATTCTGCAAATAACAATGTTTACCTGTATTCCTTTGATCAAAGAATTGCATCGTTCCCACTACCACAATGGATGGGAGTTCCTCATTCGTTCGAGATAGAATCGGTGTTTGGGCATCCTCTCGGGGATGCCTTCACGTCGACAGATGTGGATAAGTCAATAAGTCGGAGCATGATGACTTACTGGACGAATTTCGCTAAATCTGGGTAAGTCCCTGTTATTGTAGATATGAAAGGAATCGCGGTGTATATTTGACAGTGGCATAACCAACTGTGTGCAATGTTTGGCTGCCTGCCTGCTTGGTTAGCGTCACTGGTTACATGGCAACAGTAGTTTATATTCTGTATGTAGTACATGTGTGCTATTTGTTATGGTATTTTTAATTGCCTAATGCGGTTGCATACGGTCAACCACGTTTATATCGAACAGTTTTATAACGAATCCCTGCTCCACTCATTCCCTGCGAAATGTGACGTGGGTGTTATGGACTGTATACGTCTCATATCACACCAGTTTTTACCATCTGATCGGGACTATATGGGTCTAGTAGCTTTTTCTCCGTTGGCCAGTCTCGCTTTGTATTGTAATAAGAAATCCATATGTCGTGTGTTTTCTTTATAAATGCAAATATTGATAATTGCTTACAATGGTTGGTAACGATAACTTACTAATCGTACCAGCAAGTGGATAAATCTTGTGTAAAAGGGTATTCAATCCATTTTTTACAGAAACCCCAACCTTCCAGAAACACCTGACTTCCAATGGCCGACGTACAACTCTATGGACGAGCATTTCTTGGTCTTTTCCTCGTCCGGACTGTCCACAGAGCAGGGCATGAGAAAGCAGCAGTGTGTGTTCTGGAACACTCTCCTGCCACTGATCACCAAGAGCGAGGACACCGGCTCTGGCAGTAAGTCTCTTTTATCATCCCAAACTGGCTCCCACTGTAGATATCGCTTGTGTGAGATCAAGTTGCAGATAAAGCAACAATTGAATTGTCATAATGCTATTACATCATCAGTTAATGACCTCATAATACTTTGACATCACTGACATGTTTGACATCACAGCTGACAATGCTACTGACGTCACGAAGTTGATGACATCACAATGCTATGACGTCACTGAGTTTACTGCTCATGAAGACTAATGACAATTTTGTGTTCAGATAAAGTTGGGTTTTTTATTGATAACCGATGAAGAATAATTTTGGATGATAAATAAAATCTCACCCTCGTGTCTGCTTATATCAAATATATCAACACGAGTTGATTACAATTACAATTATCCGAGGCTTGCCAATTATATGTCTGACTCTTAAGGTGTGAGTTCGAATCCCGAATGGGACTCAACCCAACGGAAGTACTAGAATCTGTACTTTACTACGAAAGTATAATCCCAGATGTAACATATGCTACATTTCATGTTACACTTACCATATGTAGTTGTTCAATAACAAGTTGGTATTTTCAGTATTTTTACAACTTCATGGGGGAAACACAGACGTATTGATTATGCCTCAATAAAGACGCTTCAAGGTTGAAAGAACACAAATCGATCCCTATCAATAAAGCAAGAGGTTACACAAAACAGACGCTGAGCAATTATCGATTGACAAACAATGGTTACCAGTGTCAATAATTTGACAGTGGATCTTGTAGTTTCGTAAGTAGATTATAATGTCTTTATCAATTCAATTCAAATCTTTATTGCATGAAAGGCTGTAAGACCATATACAAAAGAGGTACATATTAACACTGGCATAATTATATAATCAACTTCTAACTAACCAATTCTTCTCTTAGCAAAACTGCATTATAAATAAATAGGACTACTTTGTGTTGTTTTGAAGGGTCTTTGCATGAAAGTAGGGAAGACATTAATTCGACATTTATATGAGATATAGGCAATTGTGGTACATTAGTATTTCTTAGAATTTCATATACAGGACAAATAAACATAAACTGGAATACATCTTCAATAATGTTACAGAATGGACATACCCTTAGGGTCTTTTCCATAGAAAAATAACTTCCACGCTTAATTACTAGATCATTAAAGCCTAAGCTGAAACGTGTAAAAGTCTTGCGAACATTTCTTTAGCGTATGTGAGCTAAATAAGACTCTGATTCATATCTAGAACATTCATGAATAGTTGAATGCCATTCCTGCTTAAACATATCAATATCCCTCATCGTCTAGTGTCTGTGATAACCAAATACAACCAAAGCCGTATCGACATGACAAGGTGCGAGTATGTGATGTCCAATTATTCTTACCAAGATAATCAAGATGTGGAAGCATATTTCAAGTTGTTTAGGTAATCGATGTTCAGGCATATTACTTATTTTACACCACTATTTTAAACACAAACAGTAAGACAGTACAATAGAAATCTCCCACAGTCACCATAAACCATAGCATTTAGCGTTGATAAAACAACATTTAGAAACTTTCTACAGGTAAGTAGATTCATTTTCTCTGTGATGTAATACTGTTAACACCCCTTTTTCAGATCCATCGGTTGCATTTGAGAATCAAATAATTTGAAATAAATAGTCGGTTGGAAAGCACCGTACAGAGGATCAATAGAGTGAAGTTGTAAAAGAACTTTCTTTGCTCGTCTCGCCAGGTTAATCCCAGATTAGTTCTGATTCAACGTATGGGTAAACAATATGCCAATGTATTTATGACCATTTATAACATTCATATGTTTATCTTTAAAACAAATATCTTTTCCCGAAAAGGGACCACCTGTAAGGAATATATAAGCAATGTTTGATTTATCAAGATTCACATTCAACCGCCATTTATCTGTATAGTATATGTAGTTGATTTTAAAGACCAATCAAACATATACTGGACAAAAATAGTTAGGGATATATGTAAATTTTGAAATTATGAATAATAATCTATTTATTCATTGAAACCCTAATAAAACATCAATCATAAAAATACCAATATCCCTAAATTATTTTGTCCAGTATATAAGTCATTCGGGACCCTTATTGTGCAAACACAAAACCTACATTTTGCTGAACATGATGCTGCGTATCATGGTGGACATATTTGATTCATTATGTTAGTGAACAAGCTCAGTCATGGTATCCGATTAAAACGTATCACAAAACGATCAAAAGCCCTGGTGTTTCTGCAACCAAGTCTTAAGCATTCCTGATTCTTCTGTTTCAGCAACAACTGGGAACGTGATTAACAGATGTCCCAAAAATGGAAGCAGGGTGTCGTTTGCTGTGAATACCTGTCTCATTGCTGTACTTGCAGCATTAGTGAGTGTTTAAACATTGAGCGATATCCTCAATGTATTCGCTGAAAAATCACAAAATATTTCCCAAAAATAGAGGCTCCTCTTACTTAGGGACAAAAACATATATATGTTCGTTTCCTATTACATGCTTTTTAAAAATAGGGTAGGTGGGTCGATTGTAGCTTTTTTGACTTTACTGAGAATGTATTCAAGGATACCATATCATGATGTTACAATGCCTTGTGGTGATACATTGAAAGAGTTCTATATCAAATCGTTATTCATGTTAATTTATTTGCAGGTTATGTCAGTGAGAGCCCATTATGCCAATTCAATGCAATCCATATTAGCCCTACGTACACTGACAAAACATGAAAATATCATACTGGGCTTGGATGAAAATGATGAGTTGAAATGTGCTCCAGTCATGATTTTGACTTCGTTAAAAATGGATTTGAGAGGGGTGGGGGTGGCGGGGTTGTAGGATAGGGTCGGTCGGGTAAGCGGTAACGGACATATTTTTTGCACAATCATGGCATAGTACATAGCTTTTTCATTACCTTTTGCTTCTGAGAGTAAGGGACCGCCTCCGTGGTGTAGTGGTTAGAGCGTCCGCCCGGAGAATGGAAGGTCGCGGGTTCGATCCCCGACCGCGTCATAACAAAAGACGTTAAAATATGGTACTTGTTGGTCCCTGCCTGGCGCTCGGCATTAATGGATGCAACAGGGACTGGTCGGCTCGGAGTCAGTATAATGTGTCTGAGTGAGGTATTCATGCTTCACTGCGGCATGGTATCTCAGTGGGCTAGCACTATAAAACCAGCTTAAGTCTGGGCTAGTACAAGCAGCCGCACATACACATACACACGCATGCACGTCGTCATATGAGCGAAATAATCTCAAGCACGACGTTAAACCCAATTTCACCTCACCTCTGAGAGAAAGGTGCAATTGACTACTGTTGAATTTAGGCAGAAAGAAATCTGCGTGTCACAATTCGTCATGTGAGGCTTATATATAATCGATGATTACCTCCAATAAATCCCAAATTCAAGTGACATGAATTGTAACACACGATTCGCAAGAGGTCACTGTGACCGTTGCATTTTGATAATACATTCTGTTTTACGTTGTGATATTTGTACAACAGCTTCTTGAATTGGTCTCAGCGAGATTACATTCATTTTTATCATTTTGTACTAACAAAGATGCTTACCTAATTAGCCATTTTATCTACACGCTTGTTGCACGTAGCCTCTTTATAATATACACTTGGCTTTTCTCTAAACATCTAAACATTTTATTTACATGCTTATTTCTCGTAGATTCTTCTCATTCGATTCTCTCCTTACCACTGCGTACATTTTAGGACGACCTGTTTGAGTTAGGTTTACATGTAAATACGTTAGCATGGCTTGTAACACCTATTGTTTGTGATCGTCACTGTTAAGTACTCTGGACACTTCTTCAGCCGAAACTCTTACTGTTTTCGATTATTATTATTATTATTTATATTGCATGTACGTCAACGAGATATGGATGTGATATGATTATTTAGATTTAAATCACTAACATCATCACTAAAAATTAATTTCTTGTACAAGCATATTTTAATCTTATATATAAGCTGTGATGGAAGTGCTACCTGTCTCCCGTCGAATTATATTCATGGATAGGCACTGTTTTCTGAAAATATATACAAAAACTGGAAGAAGGACAATTTGGATGTGATAATATATCAAAAGTACTAATGAGTCAGCACATATTTTCATGTACTGGGTGTCTTTTCCTTTCACATTGGTCGACAATAAACAATAATATATTCGTTTCACTTGCTGGTTTTCATTACGGTCAGTATAATCGAAATGTTTGGTTTTTATGTTACATATTGGAATGGCAGATGCAATATCATCCGAAACGATCTTCATCGTCCTTCCTCGATGGA